TTTAACAACTAGGAACTGCCTATTAAATGGCTTAAATAATAACAGTGGTTGTGTGTAGTTAATGTTTTCACTCTGAAAATTGGCTAAAGACTGCCAACAGAATTGCTAAACCCCAACAGCTACCCACCAGATGTATGTAGACCAACTAAACATTTGTTTTAAACTTTTGCATTTGGGACTAAACTTTGAAATTAACAGCTACTTCCAAATTCTTGTCTGGAGTAAGAAGCAATGCAAAAACATGCAGTGAGTGAGTGAGCAAGTGAGTGTCGGTCCGTTTGAGTCTGTTCGTCTGTGTCTCCATCCGTCTATCTGCGTCCCTGTCTGTCCGTCTGTGTCCCGGTCCCTCTTTCAGTCTGTCTCCATCAGTCTGTGTCCCTGTCCCTCTGTCTCCATCAGTCCGTCTCCATCAGTCTGTGTCCCTGTCTGTGTCCCTGTCCGTCTCCATCAGTCTGTGTCCCTGTCCCTCTGTCTCCATCAGTCCGTCTCCATCAGTCTGTGTCCCTGTCTGTGTCCCTGTCCGTCTCCATCAGTCTGTGTCCCTGTCCCTCTGTCTCCATCAGTCCGTCTCCATCAGTCTGTGTCCCTGTCCCTCTGTCTCCATCAGTCCGTCTCCATCAGTCCGTGTCCCTGTCCGTCTGTGTGTCTCCATCAGTGTCTCGGTCCATCCATCTGTGTATACTTTTTTCAAAAGAGTACATTTAAGCTAGTCTCAAGAGCACAGCACAACACACATAGTACAGGATGTATATCGAAGAGTCTTTTCAGCCTACAAAGTCCTTTCTTCTCTGTTGCATGTACGGTGTGATATCCACTGATGAAACATAGTCCAAACACATTTTGAAACAGTTAAGTCTTGATTAGATATGTTCGTGCAGTTTGTTTTTCAGAATTTGAACTTTGTTGGAGAGCTTTCTTCTGTCCAATTCCATCAATACCTTTGGAATAAATTCAAAAGTACATCCGAGTCCCTTTCGAGAGTTCATGTCCAGACAGTAGATTAATCCAAAAAGAAGCGCCCATCCAGTTGGAATATGTTTTAGGTCTTGAAGAACTGCAATGCCTTCGATGATTATTCCAAAGTCCTCCAATGAGTCTGATGCATCGGCATGTTGATGTTCCACGATGTAGACACCCAGCACTACTTTCTCAAACTCCTTCTCTGCTCCAACATCGGCATCCTTAAAAAGAAAAGAATGGCAGATAGAAAGCTTCAATTTACAATTTAATATTTTCCCATATTGAAATCAAACCCTATAAAATCAAGCACAAGGTGTGAGATGGTGACATTTTGCTTGTCAGCTGTCAATTCTGGATTAAAGCAAAAGTTCCATACCATAAATTCTCATTCCATCCTTGTTTACACACTAAAGATTATTGTTTAGCTAGACCCGGACCAGGACATAAAGAGCACTATAAAAGAAACCTTCATGCAGTTTATGAGTTTAAAAAAAGTTGTTTTGGTGTTTAGTTTTCCTTTAAAAGTTAGACTAGCAATTGTGTTTCATTATCATTTAAGGTAAATTATCCATAATAAAAGTAGATATTTATCTTTATGTGAATTTTGGTCTTTGCATTATTGGCTCTATGCACATAGTGAACATTTTAAAGTATGAATACTAAGTATGAGTAATAAGTATGAATGTTAAAATATCAATAGTACTTCATCCCTACAAGCCTGTTTTGTGAATTCTCACTCATAAGGGGTCTTTATTAGAACATTTGTCACCATTGTTTATATCAATTATACAATGTATAGGAATTGGAGGCTGGGCAAGGTAGGCCTATGAGTTGCGCCGTTGCATTTTTCTTCAGTGTCTACATTACAAATCAGTTTGTTTCGTTGGTGGTGACAAATCTGGCCTGTTTATATAACTATTGCTATAGCCCATTGCTCCCTCTGGAAAATGAGCAGGAGACAAGTCCACCTGAGTGCGTTGTTCTGGGCTGTCCCCAGGTCTTTACCATCTAATTTCTGCATTACTGCGCATACTGAAATGTTTTTCTTTGTGGCAGAGGTTTATTATTGTTTTTACTGTACTCATTACATCTAGTTCTGCATACAGCAAATAAAAAAATGCAACCTCTCTACCTAAAAGTTAATTTTACACAGCCCAGGTTTTAGTTTAACAAATTGGTTTGAAATAGCCATGCAACTTTCTTCATCTATTTAGACTTGGAGATATTTGCGTGACACCATGATTTGGTGACACTTCGCAAGACACTTAACCCCACTTTGCCCAAAGCCCCCACTGAAAGATCAAGGCTATGCTCACACTCTGAGAGCAGCCGTCCTCCTGTGGACTCACCACCTGCAGAGGGTCAGTGAGGGGCTGGTGCTATGAGACTTGGGTGGCATCTCTGACTGCCACCCCCCTGACCCAGAAATGGATTAAAGGGTAGAAAATGGATGGATGGACCATGATTTGAATGTATTTATAGATATCAGCATTTGTCAAAGGTGTGCTGAAATAAGTCATAACTCACCATGTAGGTCTTAACCAGGTCTTCGGGGTCTTCATTCAAGTACACGCACAGAGCCTTTAGGATGCAGAGTAGTCTTGTTTCAATGTTGGGTTTCTGTGAAAGACCAATTAAGTGTTCTCGTTATACAGTAATATTTGTGTTACATTTTCAAAAAATATATTGAGAAAAGTCAGAATGTTGGGTTAAAGCTGCACTAACTGACTTTGGGATTTTGAAGCCGTGGACTCGCTGGCCTCTCTCTTTCTGCTCCCCTCCCCGCACCCACGAAGCTATCGCCCCCACACACACTCACTGTTGTTGACGGAGCTAGCCTCTCCCAATATGGATAATACATGGATATGGATTTGCACGTGGATGGCGTGACCATAGAACGATAGAACCGGGAAGTGTGGAGGAACGAGACTTTCTTTTGGCTGTGTCGCTGTGTAAGCAGTAACCGGTGACGAAGACGAGAAAGTTTCAGGTTAGCTCCGCCACTTGTTGTGCTAACTCAGCCGTCTATGCTAACAGACCTGTAGATTTCTCACGAAAGTGGGGGCCAGTGGTCCGCTGTGATTGGTCACAATCCGCGACCCGAAACACATTCTCTTCCTTGTTTCATCAAAACTCGATCTAAAATATAATGTCACGCCAACACAAATCTGCGCTACTTTTTCTTCAAAAGGACGTATATCCCAATGCACTACAATGGACATGGATAGCATTTTTGTAATGAATACAAAAATAAAGTCAGTTGGTGCAGCTTTAATAATGCTCAGATTATTCATGAGAATATGTTCTGTTATGTTTGTATAGAAAGTAAAACTTATGACTATCCAGTAAGGTTTCAATGTAAAACACACCTCTTCTAGGGCCACCATAATCTGAGGTGTGAACGGCAGTCAATCCAAATACAGTACAAGACCCTTAATGGATATAAAAAATGGAGATGTCCCAATCACCTGGGTGGGGGGCCTCAGAGCCTGTTGATTGGGTATTCTGAAAAGGCTGTGTATTTGATTGGGTGGAGTGTAATTGCTAATATTAGGATTGGAACCTGGGGTGCTCGCGTCGGCTTGTTATATGATAGGATCTCCGAGTTGTCCTACATATACACACCTCTGGGCACACGCAATGTAAATTAGGCTTGTGAATTAACAGTTATAAACAATTACGAGAACTAAATATTTGTACTTCGAACACATGTGGTTTTTGGTGTTGTGAACGCGAAGCGAAAGGCGGGCCATCGGCATGAGGTCCGGGGGATAAAGGGACCGTTCCGGGGTCCCGGGGCACGCACAGACACTCTAATCAATGCTAAGACGGAATCGGAAAACTCGCCGAGCGGTATCACACAGCTCTTGCTACACCTTGTATGGTGAACCGTGGCAGTGCCTTCTATGGTGCGAGGGATAAACGTGACAATAAGCGCACACGCCGGGTAAACGGATGAATTAGCTATGTCTAAGATAGTCATCATATAATGGTAATATTACTCTAATACTTAATTCCAGGTGGATGAATGAAAGTTCGGTGCTATATAGCATATCGTGGACATGAATCGTTTACTTCTAACAACCAGTTGTGGCGAGAATGCGGACACTTAAGGTCTATGGTGGGGGAGTTAGGATAGTCTGTATGAGAGGGTGGGTCGAGCGGGGAGCGCGCTGTGGGGCTGAAGCTAGCGGAGCGGGTAGCAGCCTATCAGCTGCGGGTTTGCTGCGCCATTGGGATAGCATGGTCCGGCAAGTCCCTCTGGGTGCTTCGGACGCATACGGGGAAAAATGAGTATACTAACACGGCTGACCTTGAAGGCCCAAGATCATTGGAGAAGGTTGTAGTGATAAAGTTAATCATATCAACCTTACCAGGGATATCCTCCATTGCCTAGCAATGTCTATGTGCCAATGGAACGTCAATAGACACATCCACTTTTGAAAAAGTTACACATTACCGTTTCATGCTGTATATCAAAGAAGCGGCGTGTACGTACCAAATTGACGAGGAAGTTTTGACCACTCACAGTGGGGTCGTTGGGCATATGGGCTCCTGCACGCTGCGCGGCAGTGGCAAGCTTCGGGGCAAGGGTGCAAGAATACGCCAGATGGTGCCTGCCCAAAACCCGCGAGAATCCCAACAAAAACCACCCAATATGTAGAGTGTTGCGATAAATAAAAGTTAGGGATGCAAACTGAGAATACAGGATACTGTTTGGCCGGTTTATCCTTTAATTAACTAACAAGATACGGGGATCAAAATAAGGTGTCGGGGCCCCGCCCACCGGGCATACCTTGACAACTACGCAGGTCGGGCGCATTGCGTCCACAGCGTCATTGCGTACAGGTTGGGAGACGGAAAGAGGTAGGGGGTTAATCATATAATGTATCTGTTGTAGGCACCGGTAAATCTGGGGCTGTGGGGTGGGAGACACATTGCACATTGTTGATATGTTGTTCCTGTTAGAAACATAAGAAACACAGTTTTTTTCACCTTCACCATGTCCACATAAAGTGCTCAACAGCACTCTTTCCTTCTTAGAGTGTGGCCTCGCTCGCTCCTCTAGTCTCTCTCTCGTGGGCGCTGTCTCTGGTCTCTGCGCGCTCTGGTCTCTCCTCGCTCTGGGGTCCTCCGCTGGGCCGCTCCTGGGTCTCTCTCTCGCCGTGGCCTCTCTCTGGTCTCCCTGGGTCCCTCTTGGGGCGCCGCTCGGGCATCTGGTCGCCCGCTGGTCTGGGTGCGGGGCCATCTCTCTGGGCTCTCTCTCTGGCGGTTTCGGGTCGTCTCTCTGTCGCTCGCGCTGGTCGGTTGCTGGTCCTTCCGCGGGTGCATCTCTCTCTGGTCTGTGTTCGGGCGCAGTCTCCATGGTCTCTCTTTCTGGTCTGTCTCGGGTCTGTGGCTGGTCGCTGCTCTGTCTGGCTCTGGGTCGGGTTCTGGTCTCGGCTCGGGTCTCTCTTTCTGGGCGGCCCTGGGCCTGGTTGCGGGGCTGTCCTCTGGTCGCTGTCGAGGCAGTCGAGTGTGACCTTGAGTGGGGGGGGCTCATGACTAGCGTGGTACTTCGTCCCGCGATGAAGACACAGTCTTACGAGGCACTATCGCAATTGCTCAAAAGGGGTAGTTTATTCGGGTTTTTTTAAAATCGTGACACCCGCATCAACTAAAGCCCCCGCATTAGGTTAATAACATTTGTGCAAGAGTATAAGGTGATACTAAAAGCACAAAACCAAATAAGATACGGACAAAACAGTGTGCTGACGTGCGTGTTAAGATGGATGGTGGTGATTGAGTCTTATCGGTCGCACTGCCGGCTGAGGGACGGTAATTATGTATATGTTAAGGCGGAATTGATGCGAGTGTTCTGCTGATGATAACGTTTTGTCGGCGGAGGGATAAATACTGGGAGAGGAATTGGCGGTATACGGCGCGGTGGAGTCGAGGCGAGTTTCGGCCAGTGTGGACGGGATCAATCCTACATTAAGCGCGTGCTGCTAATCTCGCCAAATAGGCGGGCCTTTAATCGCCGCCCCTGCGCGGATGCCTTTCCATACGCGGGTCTTCCTGTTGCACGTCGAGTTGCAGAGCTATTTCAGCGTCCAAGTGTACGGACGTGTGGAATAAAAGAGCAGTTTGGATATTGTCACAGCCACTTATGCTGGGCGGGGATAGCTTCATAGGGATGGTGAAGCCGCTGGATTCCACGCATGAGAATCATGTTGTTTGTAACGCTCCGCAGACAAAGCAACGGGAAAAAGGAATTGAAAATGTGTCGTGTCCGGAGTGGAATGTATGTCAGACGGATGAGTCGACGAATGGTTGATGTGGGTTGTTTTTTGGGGCTTATATAAACCTTCTAATCTTGCAAAACCGTTTGTTGCATCACTAGTTGTTGACAATCGGGTTGTGGCCTCTGGTCGTAGCGTTATTCGGGGGTGTTCAGTCAGTAAACGTGAAACGGTAGAGAGAACCATAGAGTGAGACCAGAGAGAGAGGCCAGAGAGAGAGACCAGAGAGAGAGGCCAGAGAGAGGAGACCCAGATGAGGACCAGAGTAAAGGAGAGACAGAACAGGAGAGGCAGAGAGAGACCGAGAGAGAGACCAGAGAGAGACCAGAGAGAGCCAGAGAGAAGAGACCAGAGAGAGACACCAGAGAGAGAGGACGAGAGAGAGGCCCAGAAGAGAGAGGCAGAGAGAGGCCAGAGAGAGAGACCAGAGAGAGACCAGAGAGAGACCAGAGAGAGAGACCAGAGAGAGACCCAGAGAGAGACCCAGGAGGAGACCCAGAGAGAGACCAGAGGAGAGACCGAGAGAGAGATGCCGAGAGAGGAGACCAGAGAGTGCCAGAGAGAGACCAGAGAGAGAGACCAGAGAGAGAGACCCAGAGAGAGGCCAGAGAGAGAAGAGAGGACCCAGAGATGATAGAAGGGACCAGAGAGAGACCAAGAGAGAGACCAGAGAGGAGGACCAGAGAGAGACACAGAGGAGAGACCAGATGAGGGACCAGAGGAGACCGAGGAGCGAGAGGTCCAGGAGAGTAGAGATGCGACCAGTGACGAGACGAGCGGAGGCGGGTAGCAGAGAGGACCAAAGAGCAGAGAGTACCAGAGCGAGAGACCAGAGAAGGACCAGCAGAGGATTAAGTGCGAAAGGAAGACAAGAGCCGAGATCAGAACAGAAAGGGTCAGTTAGATCCACAGAGACAGAGGGTTCCACAGGCGGATGAGCACATGGCACCAGAGCAAGGCAAAGAGAATTCTACATGTAATGGGATGGGTGACTGTGCTGGGTAGCTTAGGCAACGCACGTACGAGGTAAGACAGTAAATTCCCCACCGACCAGGATATAGGGAGGTAATAGTTTTATAGATTTAGTATTAGGTAACAATTCAGTCATCAAACCAAGTCAAGGAGCATTTTTCTGCTTAAAATTGATATCCTGGGAGCTAAGACTTTGAGTGATTTTTGGGTACCTAAGAGAGCAAGAGACCAAGTGAGAGACCAGAGAGAGAGTCCAGTGAGTGACCAGAGAGAGACCAGAGAGAGACCAGAGAGAGGACCAGAGAGAGACCAGTGAGAGTGACCAGAGAGAGTCCAGAGAGAGACCAGGAGAGAGACCAGAGAGAGACCAGAGAGAGAGCAAGAGACTATAGAGGAGAAGAAGAGAGACCAGAGAGAGAGACCAGAGAGGAGACCAGAGAGAGGGACCAGAGAGAGACCAGAGAGGGTGGGTCCATGAGTATATGACCCCTGGACCTGTGTCTTTCGGCAGTTGCCCATGACGCAGCCTAGTCACCACCTGATCTGTGGGCATGACCCCGGACCCCAACACCCCGTACTGCTCTGTCCATCGGGGGCAGTCAGTCTAGCCCAAGTACGGGACCGCAAGGTGCTCCACATGGACAGGTGGATAGATAAGGTGAGGAGTAGCTCGCGCTCTGCTCTCTCTCTGCTAGCTCTCGGCTCTCGCTCGGCTCCGCCGCAGCGCTCCCCGCCGGCTTCTCGCTCCCTGCTCTCGCTCCTCGCGCGCCCTCCGCTCTCCCTCTGCGCTGCGCCTCGCGGCGCGCTCGCTTTGCTCTCGCCTGCTCTCCGTGCCGCGCTCCCCTGCGCTCTCAGCTGCTCTCTCGCTCGTGCGCCCCCCTCGGCTCGCTCGCTGCGCTCGCTCTGCTCTCACGTCCGCTCTCCCGCTCTCGCGCTCTGCTCGCCTCGCTCTGCTCCCCTCTGGCGCGCTCTCGGCTCTCTCGCGCTCGGCGCTCCTGCCGCTCTCCCTGGCTGTCCCGCTGCGCTCTCGCCTCTCGCCCGCCGCGCTCCCTCCTCGGTCAAACCGCGCTCCTCCGTGAGGTCAGGCATTTACTCTCGGAGTAACTTCATGTCCCGACTGGGCCTGGACACCTCCGCCCCCTCCTGGAAGTGTCCGCCAGGGGGACGGCATCGGCCCCCCCCCCCCGCCCCTGTGTGCCCCTCTATTCTAAACACCCTATGCTCATCCACCTCTGCTCCCCCATGGCGCCCCAACCCTCAGCCCTGGCCAGCACCGCTGGGTCACGAATTAAGTCCGCTGTGAGGAACTACTTGCTCTGAGGAAAATAATCAGAGTTTTAACATGGTTGCAGATTTAAAGGGATTCCATTCAGAACCAGCACTCTACCATAGTGCTCCTGAGGAGACCAGAGAGAGACCAAGAGAGCCAGAGAGAGACCAGAGAGGGACCAGAGAGAGACCAGAGAGAGAGACCGAGAGAGAGACCAGAGAGAGACCAGAGAGAGACCAGAGAGAGACCAGAGAGAGACCAGAGAGAGACCAGAGAGAGACCAGAGAGAGAGACCAGAGAGAGAGAGACCAGAGAGAGAGACCAGAGAGAGACCAGAGAGAGAGACCAGAGAGAGACCACCAGAGAGAGACCAGAGAGAGACCAGAGAGAGACCAGAGAGAGACCAGAGAGAGACCAGAAGAGAGACCAGAGAGAGACCAGAGAGAGAGACCAGAGAGAGAGAGACCCAGAGAGAGAGAGAGACCAGAGGGAGACCAGAAGGGGACCAAGAGAGAGAACCCCAGAGAGGGGGAGATAAGAACCCAGAGGGAGACCAAGGGAAAGAGACCCCTCGCAAAGTGAGCACCAAAGAGACAAAACCAAAACCAAAAAAAAAAAAACACAGAAAAACAAAAAGACAATAAGAACAGAAAAAAAAAAAAAAACCAAACAAGAAACCACAACAAAAACAAAAACAAACAAAAAAAAAAAAAAAAAAACAACAAAAAGAAAAAAACACAAGCAAAAAAAAAAAACAAAAAAAAAAAAAAAACAAATAAAAAACAAGGAAATAAAAAAGCAAAACCACACAAATGCAAAAGAAAGCAAGACAAAAAATAAAAAAGAACAAAAACAAAACAAACGAAAAAAGAAAAAAACAACAACCAAAACGAAAAAATAAACAAACAAACCAGCCACCAATGCCAGAATAACTAAACAAAACAACGCAAAAAAACCAACAGACAAAAAAAATAACAAAAAAAAAAATAAAACAAAAAACAAAGAAAAAAACAAGGAAAAACAAGACAAAAAAACGGCAACAAAAAAAAATAACAAAACACAATAAAAATAGACAACAAGCAAAACACACACACAAACACAAAAAACCAACAAACACAAGCAAATCCACCACACATAAAAAGAGGCCAAAAAAAACAAAAAAATAACTACCAAAAAAAACAAGCACAGAAAACAAAAACAAAAACCAAAAGAAACACAAACCTCAAAAAAAAAAACAAACATCAAAAAAACCAACAAAAAAAAGACAAGCCAAACAAACACAAAAGAAAAAACATAAAAAAACAAACAAAAAAAAAATAAAAAAAACAGAAAAACAAAGCCACACACACCACAATCCACAGAAAAAAAAAAACACAAAGCAAACACAAAACAAAAAAACCAAAAAAAACGGAAAAAAGCACAAACTAAAAAAAACAACAAACCAAAAAGAAAAACAAAGAAAGAAAAAAAACACCCACAGCCCGGCCTCCCACCACCCCCCCCAACACCCCCTCCGCCCCCCCCCCCCACCCCCCCCCCGCCCCCCCTCCCCACCCACCCACACCCCCCCCCCCCCCACATCCACCCACCCCCCCCTCACCACCCCCCCACCACCCCGCCCCGACCCACCCCACTCCCCCCCTCCCCCCCACCCCCCCCCCCCCCCCCCCCCCCCCCCCCCCCACCCCGCACCCCCATCCCCCCCAGCCCCCCCATCCCCACCCCCCCACCCCGCCCGGCCCCCATCATCTCCCCCGCCCCCCACCTCACCACCCATACCCTCCCCCGCCGAACCCCCCCCCCGCCCCACCCCCCCGCCCGCCACTCCCCCCCCCCACCGCCCCCCCCCCCCCCCTCCCCCCCCCCCCCTCCGCCTCCTCCCCCCCACCCCAACCCAACCACCCCACCCCACCCACAGACCCCAACCCCCACCGCCCCCACCCCCCCCCCCCACCACCCACACCCCCCCCCGAACCTCCCACGCCCACCCCCGCAGCCCCCCACCCCACCCCTGTGCCCCCCCCGCCTCCTTCCCGGCCCAACCTCCCGACCGCCCCCCCCTCCCCACCACCCGTCCCCCCCCCCGCCCACCCTCCTCCCCCCCCCTCCCCCCCCCCTCCCCCAACCTTCCCCCCTCCCCCCACCCCCCCCGTACTCCCTCCCCACCCGCCTCCAACCCCCCCACTACCCCATCCCCCCCCCCCCCCCCCGCCCGCCCCCCCCCCTACACGCCCCCCCGCCTAACCCAACCCCACCCCCCCCCCCACCTCGCCTCCCCAACCCCTCCCCCCCCCCATACACCCCACCCCCCACCCCCCCCCCCACCCCTTGACCCTACTCCCCCCCACACTCACCCCACCATCCACCCTCTCCCCTCCCCCCCCCCTCCCCCCACCCCCCCCACCCCACCCCCCCCCCCCCCCACCCTCCCCACACCCCCCTCACCCCCCAACCCCCCCCCCCACCCCCCCCCCCCCCCCACCGCCTCTCCCCCCCCCCCCCCCCTCCCCCCCCCACCCCACCCCCCCTCCACCGCCCCCCCTCCACACCACCAACCCACTCCCCCTCACCCCCTCCATCTACCAAGCCCCCAACCCACCCCGGCCCTAGCCCCCCACCAACCTACCCCCCCCCCCCCGTAGACCACCCCCCCCCCCCACCCCCCCACCCCCACCCCCCCCCCAGGCCACTCCCCCCCTTCCCCCCCCCCCTCGCCCGAACCCCCCCCACCCCCACCCCCCGTCCAACCTCCCCCCCGTTCACCCCCCCCCCACCTCCCCCCCCGTCCCCAACCCCAGCCCCCCAACCCCCCCCAACCCCCCCATCCCTCCCCCCCCCACTCACCCCCCCCACTCACAACCCCCCCCCCCCCCCCCCCCCCCACCTCCCCCCCCTCCGCGCTCGTCGCCCCCTCCCCCCCCCGCCCCAACCCCCGCCCACCAACCCCACCCCACCTCCCCCCCCCCCCTCTCCCCGCACCACCGTCCCCCCACCCGCCCCACTCACACCCACCCCCCCCCCCCCACCCCCCCCGACCCCCCCCCCGGCCCCCCCCCCCACCCCCCCACCCCCCCCCTCCACTGCTTCCCCCCAAACACCCCACCGCCTCAACAGGCCCCCTCCCCCCCCCCCCCCCCTCCCCCCACCCACTCCCCCCACCACCCCCGTCCCCCACCCCAGCCCCCACCACGTCCCCCCCTCGCCCCCCCCCCCCTCCCCGCCAACCCCCCCCATCCCTCCACCACACAACCCACCCTCCCCCCCCATCCTCCATCCCCACAGCATCCCGCCCGCCCCCCCTCCCCACAACCCGGCCCCCACCTAGCTCCCCCCCCCCACCCCACCTCCAATCCCTCCCCCCCCCCCCCCGCACCCTCCCCCCCTCCCCACCATCCCCTCCCCCCCCCCCCGCCCCCCACCCCCCCCCCCACCCCCCCCCCCCCCCCCAACCCCCGCCCACCACCCCCCCCCACCTCCTCAGCCGCTCCCCCCACTCACCCCCCCGCGCCTCCTCCCCCACCCGCCCCCCCCCAGCCACCCCCTCCCCCCCCCCCCCCCCCCCCCAGCCCACAACGCCGCCCACCCCCCCCGCCCCCCCCTCCACCCCCTCCCCCCCCCCGCCCAACCCCACCCCCCCACCCACCCCCTCCCCCCCCCCCCCTCCCCCCCTACCCCCCCCCCTCCTCCCCCCGCCCCGACCCCCCCCCCCCAAAGCCCTCCTAAACACACCCCCACCCCCGACCCCCGCCCCCCTTCCCCCCACCCTCACCCCCAACCCCCCCTCCCCCCCCCCGCCACCTTCACCCACCCTCCCCCCCCCCCCAACCCCCCCCTCCCGCCACTCCCCCCCACCCTCCTCCCCCCCCCCCCTCCCCCACCCCCCCCCCCCCCCGCCCCCCTCGCACTCCTCACCCCACCCCGCCCACACATCCCCCCCCCCCCTCCAGCCCCCCCACACCCCCCCCCGCACCCCGACCCCCCCCTCCCCCCCACCCCGCCCCTCCCCCCCCCCCCCCCGCCCCCATCCCCCCCATCCGCCCCCCCCCCTACTACCCCCCCCACTCCCCCCCCCGCCCCCCCCCCCCGGCCCCGCACCCCCCCCCACCCGCCCACCCCCCTCCCCCAGTCCCCCCCCCCCCCCCCCCACCCTCACCAAATCCGCCCCCCCCGCCCCCACCCACCCACCCCACCTCCCCCCCCACCCCCCCAGCCTGCCCCCCCCCCACCACGCCCCCCCCGCCCCCCAACACTCCCCCCCCCCTCGCCCACCCCCACACGCCCGCACACCCCCCCCCCCCCACCCGCCCCCCCCCCGCCCCCCCCACCCTCCAACACCCCACCTCCCCCCCCCCCTACCCCACCCACACCCGCCCTGCCCGAACCCCCCTCCCCCCACCCACCCCCACGAACCCGACCCCCTCCCTCTCCCACCCCCCCACCCACACCCTGTTCCCCCGTTACCCGCCTCCCCCCCCCCTCCCACCATTCCCACACCCCCCGCCCCCCCCACACCCCCGCCCCACCCCTTCCCACCCCCCACCGCCCCACTCCACCACCCCACACACCCCTCCCTACCCCTTCCCCGGTGCCCCCCACCCCCCCCCCCCCCCCCCCCCCCCCCCCCCCCCCCCCCCGCCCCCCGCCCCCCCCCCCCCCCCCCCCACCCCGTCTCCGGCACCCCTACCCCCCCCACCCCCCCCCCCTTCCCCAAGCCCACCCCCGCCCCCCCCCCAGCTTCCCCCACCCCCCCGCACGCCCCCGCCCCCCCCAACCCCACAATTCCCCCCCCCCCCCCCCCCTCCCCCCCCCCCCCCCCGTCCCCCCCCTCCTCTCCCCTCCCCCCTCCCATCTCCCCCCACCCACCCCCCCCCCCCCCCCCCGCCTCCAACCCCTCCACCCCCCACCCCCAACACCCCCCCAACCCCCCCCCCATCCACCTCCACCCCATCCACCCCCCATCCCCCCCGCCCCCCCCCGAACCCGCAACCCCCCCCCCCCCTCCCCACCCAACCCCCCCACGCCCCGGCCCCCCCCGCTCCCCCCCCCCCAACCGCACCCCCCCCCCCTCCCCCCCGCTCCCTCCCCCCCTACTGCCCACCCCACCTCCCCCCCGCTTCCCCCCTCCACCCCCCCCCCCCCCTGCCGCACCCCGACGCCTCCCCCCACAACCCCCGACCCCCAACACACCAAGCCCCCCCCACACCCCCCCCAACCACCACCCCCACCACCCCCGCGCCCCACACCCCCCCCCCCCCGCCCCCCCCCGCCCCCGCCCCCGCCCTCCCCCGCCACCCCCCCCCACCCCCCACCCCACCCCCAACCCCCCAACCCCACACAAGACCCACCCACACTCCCCCCAACTACCACGACACCATCCACCCCCCCCACACCCTCCACTCCCCACCCGCACCCCCCCCCCCCCCCCCCCCCCCCGACCCTCCCACCACTCCCCCACCAATACCCCCAGTCACACGAACACCATCCCCCCCCTCCCCCCCCGCCCCCCCCCCCCCCGCCACCTACCCCCCCGCCCCCACCTCCCCCTCAACTCCCACCCACCCCCACACGGCCACCCCACCCGCCACGCGCCACCCCGCTTGCACTCCATTACCGCGCCCCCCCTACCCCCACCCCCCATTGTCAAGGCCCCCTCCCCCCCGCAGCCCCTCACACCCCACCCCCACCCCCACCCCCCCCCCCCCCCACCCCCAATCTCGCCCCCCCCCCCCCCCACCACCTCAACCTCCCCCCACCCTCCCCCCCCCCCCCCCCCACCCCCCCCCCCACCCTACCCCGCCCACCCCCCCCTCCCCCCCCACCGACATTAACAAACTTCCAATAATCGACATGGACAACATCACTTCACTTTCATAAATTACTAGATAGTTTTATGGGGGTGTAAGAGTAATGAGGGTGTAAGAATAGTTAATTGGTCGTTACTCATTGTCCAGTTCATTTTTCAGTGTCTGCAATTTTGGGGAAAGTTGCCTCCGCCCCTCATCCAAGTTGAGGAGGATCATTTGGAGAAAGTCAAAGAAGCCCTTTACTTTCTGTGGGTACTCCAGGTGTAGTGCATATATTAGGCCGAAGAGGATAACCAGTGCATCCACCCAGCAACGGTGAGTTGAGACGATCTGGTCCTCCAACACGATGGCCACCTGCTGGGCGGACCAAGGAGTCGCAGCATCTCCAGTGACAGCAACCAAGGCAACCGTCCCATCTTTGCTGCCATCAAGTTCCTCCTCCTTAAATGAAACAAAAAGACATACAATGAGAACCATGTAGATCCAAGATTAAGCAAATGCAGCCCTTCCAGTTTTCAGACTCTCCCATGTATCGATTCAAAAAAGCTCAAAGTTGGGCTTTCATTCAATAAATAATGAAAAACTACTTCCTCATTTAAGGATTAGCTAAAGGATCATTTTGAAAATTCAATTATTGTCAAGATAACTTATTAAAAAACATTCAAAGACCACAACAAGATAAATCACATTGGTTTTTTATCTTCAATTAGATTAACAAAGCCAAACGTTTTTGGGTATCACCATTTGCATCTAATGAAGTTAAAAAAGACATACAATAATGGTGAAGTGGCTCACAACACTTACCTTACAAGTTCGAAATATCTGGCTTGGGTCTTCTTTTAAATACAGGGGTAGTCCAAACAAGACTGCAGTTCTTGTTTTTTGTACGTCATTCTTGTCCTATGTGCATTAGGGATAAAAAAACATTTTACTTTGTGACAGCATATGTCTGTGCAGTCTATTGGGTCTCTTATTTTTCTTCCACAAGGTTTCAGCACATTTCAATTCATAACATTCAATTTTCAATGGGTGTACACAGGTGTAGTGAAGGGGTAGTGAGGATTTAGGTGTACTGGGGGTGTAGTGAGGGTAGGATGGGGGTGTAGTGAGGGATGGGGGGATAATGGGGGTGTAATGGGGGTGGGGTAATGAGGGGATAATGGGGGTGTAATGGGTGTGTAATGGGGGGATAATGGGGGTGTAATGAGGGGATGGGGGTGTAATGAGGGGATAATGGGGGGGGTGTAATGGGGGATGGGGGTGTAATGAGGGGATAATGGGGGTGTAATGAGGGGATAACGGGGTGTAATGAGGGGATGGGGTGTAATGAGGGGATGGGGTGTAATGAGGGGATAATGGGGGTGTAATGAGGGGGATAATGGGGGTGTAATGAGGGAATGGGGTGTAATGAGGGGATGGGGTGTAATGGGGGATAATGGGGGTGTAATGAGGGGATGGGGGTGTAATGAGGGGATGGGGGGTGTAATGAGGGGATAATGGGGGTGTAATGAGGGGATAATGGGGGTGTAATGAGGGGATGGGGTGTAATGAGGGGATAATGGAGGTGTAATGGGGGGATAATTGGGGTGTAATGGGGGTATAATTGGGGTGTAATGGGGGTATAATGGGGTGTAATGAGGGGATAATGGGGGTGTAATGGGTGTGTAATGGGGGTGTAATGGGGGATAATGGGGGTGTAATGGGTGTGTAATGGGGGTATAATGGGGGTGTAATGGGGGTGTAATGAGGGTATAATGGTGTAATGAGGGGATAATGGGGGGATAATGAGGGTGTAATGGGGGGATAATGAGGGTGTAATGGGGGGGTAATGGGGGTGTAATGGGGGATAATGGGGGTGTAATGGGGGGATAATGGGGGTGTAATGAGGGTATAATGGGGGGATAATGGGGGGATAATGGGGGTGTAATGGGGGGATAATGGGGGTGTAATGGGGGGATAATGGGGGTGTAATGGGGGGATAATGGGGGGATAATGGGGGTGTAATGGGGGGATAATGGGGGTGTAATGGGGGGTGTAATGGGGGGTGTAATGGGGGTGTAATGGGGGGGTAATGAGGGTGTAATGGGGGATAATGGGGGTGTAATGGGGGGGTGATGGGGGTGTAATGGGGGGATAATGGGGGGATAATGGGGGTGTAATGGGGGGATAATGGGGGTGTAATGGGGGGTGTAATGGGGGTGTAATGGGGGGGTAATGAGGGTGTAATGGGGGATAATGGGGGTGTAATGGGGGGTGATGGGGGTGTAATGGGGGGATAATGGGGGGATAATGGGGGTGTAATGAGGGTGTAATGAGGGTGTAATGGGGGTGTAATGGGGGTGTAATGGGGGGTAATGGGGGGTGTAATGAGGGTGTAATGAGGGTGTAATGGGGGGATAATGGGGGTGTAATGGGGGATAATGGGGGTGTAATGAGGGTGTAATGGGGGGATAATGGGGGTGTAATGGGGGTGTAATGGGGGGGATAATGGGGGTGTAATGAGGGGATAATGGGGGTGTAATGGGGGTGTAATGGGGGGTGTAATGGGGGTGTAATGGGGGGGTAATGAGGGTGTAATGGGGGATAATGGGGGTGTAATGGGGGGATAATGGGGGTGTAATGGGGGTGTAATGGGGGGTAATGGGGGGATAATGGGGGGATAATGGGGGTGTAATGAGGGTGTAATGGGGGGATAATGGGGGTGTAATGGGGGATAATGGGGGTGTAATGGGGGGATAATGGGGGTGTAATGGGGGTGTAATGGGGGTGTAATGGGGGGATAATGGGGGTGTAATGAGGGGATAATGGGGGTGTAATGGGGGGATAATGGGGGTGTAATGGGGGATAATGAGGGTGTAATGAGGGGATGGGGGTGTAATGAGGGGTGTAATGAGGGGATGGGGATGTAATGAGGGGATGGGGGTGTAATGAGGGGGTGTAATGAGGGGTGTAATGAGGGGATGGGGTGTAATGAGGGGATAATGGGGGTGTAATGAGGGAATAATGGGGGTGTAATGAGGGGATGGGGGTGTAATGAGAGGTGTAATATGGGGTGTAATGAGGGTATAATCAGGGAATCGGGGTGTAATGAGGGTGCAAGAGTAATGAGGGTGTGAGTGTAATAAGGGTGGTTTAAGAGTGTAATGGTGGTATAAGGGTAAGATAGATGTTGCTTACCTGCTCACTGTAGTCCAAGAGAAGACTTGAAAGCTTCTCCCCGAATGGCCCGGACCTTCTTTGTCTGTACAAGCTGAGAAGTTTTGTTGCACATTCATCCAAAGCAGCAAAGAAGGTAAATTGCAAATTCTTGTTTGTTATGAGGTGAAATTCCTTGTACAGCTGTGTCAATCAGAAAGCAAATAAACAATGTAGTGTGCCAAATTTTAGTTTAATTTATATCAAATGTACTTCACTTACATGAGGCTCGCAGAAGAGGGCAGGCCATCGGTTTTTCAGCTCCGAAATAGGAGTGTTTGTGTTTATTATTTCCTCTCTTCTGAGAGCAAAGGTTTTCTGCATTAGAAGGTAAATTAGTGGCACATCACGCTCCGAGGAAACCTTCTGAAACTCTCCGATTATTTCAAGACGATGGGCCTCCAAGCTCGTCTTGTTTTCCCCAGAAGGATAGTTGGGGAGAAAGTTTATTTCACCTCGTCTTGGCCTTTTAATGTTTGCTCTTGATGGCTCGGCTTCTGGCCGACGACGACTCCGCTTTCCTGCATTAATCGAGACGTCTTTTATTCCTGCGCGACTTAACTTGGTGCGATAGTTTCCCATCTTGTAGCTCAGACTGTTTTTCCATCCATCATAGCCGGTCCTGGAGCCTCTCTCACCCAAGCAGGGGTGTTTGGTCACAAGTGCTTCTGCTGCCATGGCTATCTGCTTACTACTTGGGTAAGCTTTATGTTTGTACATTTGAACAGCCATGCATTCCAATATAACATGTTTCTGGTCTTTAGTAATCCGCTGACTCTTCCCTTCATTTGTAAAAGCAACATTGCCTTCCCTTAAGATATGCTCCACGTCATAAGAGAATGTGGGGACAACAAAGTGAAATGGCCATCCAGAATTCCGATCAGACGAGTCTGTGCTGTCTGAAAGGATGGAGGAGTCGTCAGTACTACATGAGCTGGTATCAAGGTCTGCTTTGGCTACAACTTTTACTGTTGCTTTGGAAGGGAGGTCTTCGATGTTTACCAAATTGCAGAGTGCCCCATCAAAGTCCGGGTCTTCAAATTGTAGTCTGAAGTCAAAGGTCAACTTGAATCGTGTCATGATTTCTTTTATGAGATCATCGACTGTTTCTGGATAGGAAGGCAAAATGAACTTTTCTGCATTTTCAGCCCCAAGTACAACACGTAACCGCAGCGAGGAGTCCATGTTTCCAAGCTGAAATAAAACAAATATTTATGTCACAACATGACGTGCATATAATTCACATGTTAAGTGGTTGGATTTCCTTCTCATAAATGTTCTTATTCAGGTGGATAGGAAATGTTTAGGGGTGATAATCAGTTTGCCACTCACACGATATGCAGACAGAGGCATAGAATCCTTCAGTTGATGCACATGTGTAACGGTGTGGCCCGCGTCTTTGTCAGCAGTCAACTCAAATGAGCGCAGGTGCTCAACATACCATGCATTGAAGTCTTTAAGTATGAAAGTAATTTCACTACCAAGTAGTAAAATGTTCATTATTTCTTTAAATTCAGGTAGACCACTTAGAGTGCCTGTACAGACAAACATTCCAATTGCATACGAAGTGCCTTCAACACTGATCTCTTTAGCACTCAGGATGTTTGTGTCTTTTGTAAGGCTTGACATGTGGGTGTGGACATTAGCCGGCAGGGAATCTACAAAGATAGACTCAACCTTGGAAGTCTGCACTTGGGGTTTGAAAAAACGTGGTGACGACAAGTAAAAAGACATCATTGCCTGGTGTCGGCCAGCACAGGTTTTCAGAACATTCTTGTAATTCTGTGTGTCATGGACAATTTTTTTGAAAACCCTGTGCTTCCCTTCGAATCGCATTGTCCAAAGGTGCACAAGGGGCCCAAAGCACTTAACCAGATGAGGATAGTGTTCAATAAAGTGGTGTTTAGGCCTTAATTGTAGATTGGGAACACCTTTTGAAGTAGCTGCCTATGATCAGATATTTTACAGGCCATGTACTGCAAAGATTCATCTGTGAACTGCTGAGACAGAGCAAGTTCAACTACATCTTTAAGTTCCATTAAAATGTCCCAAAATTCATCCCCTTCAGGAACCATTGAGCCAATAATAAGTGGAAGCAGACGTAAGAGAGTGTGGTTCTCATGGCCATTTCCTCCAATTGTTCCTCGAGATGAATAACTCAGAGGGATTGGATGAGGCCGGTCAACTTTATCAGAATGCTGATATGGAAAATTTGAAACAGCCTTATTCAAATCTTCAAATGAAAAGTATTTTCTTGAAATCATACCTTTCAAACAAAGAGCCAGTTCTACCGGCACTACGCCTTCGAAGAGATCGTGGAGGATATCTGGCGGGAATCCTGTGATGGGATGAAAGAATGACAAGTGGTCAGACAACACACATGTGTCTTTAACACCAAAACTTTCAGAATCATCATTTCTCATTTGTTGTGTTAGACAGTCATGCTGTTCTTTTGACCTCCACTGACTGATGTCTGTAGTTGCATCCAATGTCTGCATGTCAGCTCTGCTACTAAGGCAAAATCGACAACAATATGTTGATCTGAAACTTTTATTTAAACCTGCCAGACCATGTGCAGCAAGGTTGTCTGAAACGACAGAGAATATTGTGCCTTTTATGGAGCTACCTAGTGCCTCCACATAGATACCTTCCTGCTCAAGTATCTTTAAATCACTCAACATGGGAGCAAACACTTTTGCAAATCCAAATGTTGAACGTCATTTGCATTGCACAACAAGGCAAGCTGGATTGTGTGCAAAGCAGAGCGATATTTTGCCGGCAAGTTGGCCAATGACCAATACACTGCACAGTTCTTGTAAATTTTTCTTGATGTTCCAAGGGGATTGGCAATTTCAAAATCGTCTACATACAAAATCAATGCAATCTTAATACCATCTTCTGCAAAGAGAGTGTTTTCCTGGTAGAAAGAGCCATCAACATGGGAGGAATACACACCTGGCTTCCTTGAAGTAGTTTCCAGCACCTTCTCAAGAACATCTGTTTTTTTCAGCAAGGCCTGTAGAGAGGACAGAATAGGGACATACATGCAAGTTTGAGGTGTTGAATCAATTAAGTATTCAACAGGCTTAACATTGAGAAACCTCTGCTCAATATAAGTCTTCCGTCTCTTTGCAGTAGACAGTGGACCTTCACTAGTTATTGATTTATGTAAAATATTACTTTCTGAGACTGCCTGACAAATGTCCCTGATCAGCGGATCTGTCACTGAGCAGTTGTGCCGTTTCAGTGTTTTAACAACGGCCTCTTTGAGAATGGGCTCTGACAGGGAAAACAAGTGTTCAAAGTGCTCAATGATTTCAAGCGTCGCTCTGTCAGAGACATGGAGCAAAGTTTGCATTTTCAAAAAAAAAGCAGCCAAATTGTACTCCAATTGTTCTGCAAGTTCATCCGTGTTACTATTAAGCTCTTCAGATCTTTCACTAATGCAAGGCACAACTATATCTTGCTGCTCATAGTCATCATTATGAGGAATGTCAAACTCATTTTGCTCAACGATCTCAACGGCATACTCTGTAGAATTGCAATGATCTCGAGTCTTGTGCGAGCCAAATGAGGAGTACACATTGGTTTTGAAATTGCAGTTTTTAAATGGACAAGGAACAATTTGTTTCTTCTTTAAATGCCCCCTTAAGTGAAGGAACATGTCCTTTTCATGAAATGGTTGTCTAAATTCACAAAGTGGACACTGAAATGCAGACGTTCTGTCAGTTTGTTTGCCATTTCCTTTAGCTGTATTGTGCAATAATGACATGTGCACTTTCAATGAATTAAATGTCTTAAACGTGCAAACACAATTTTCATGCAAGCATGGTAGTGGAGAGATAGACGAAAACTGGCCATGCTGCAATCTATAATGCCGCATTAATTGTAATTTTATCTGGGTTGAAAAACGGCACAATTTGCATTTCCACATTTCAGCACGTGTGTGTGGTAAGACAGACAACTGGAAACCCACGTGCGCAAGGTTAGCTAACCTAGCTCTCAATCTTTATGCCCAAAAGGCATGCAGTTAAATATAATTTATAACCAGTTTTTCTCCAGAGGTCAAGCTGGAATCAACATTTCTTTCAACAGACAATAAACTTAAGTTGAATTGGGCATAAAGAACTTTCGTGCTAGCCGCTGGAGTGCAAAACGTGAAACGGGCCTGTGGATTTTCACAGCAAACACGAATGTTTGAAAGCAAAACATTTTTTAAATATTATAGCGTGTAATGCTTACAATTACTTAATGTTCTATTCAAATGAAAATCCTCTCAAATGAACTACGACATCGATTATACTCACGGAGAAAGAAAGAAGACCGCACCGCTCTCGTGGCTGCAGTCAGTCGCATACACTAGCGAGAATCGAGTCAGGGTTGCCAGATGCCAGCACATTTTTCCAGCCCAAAACCTAGCCAAAACACAAAACCCGCGAGAATGGAATCAGAACAGCCGTGTCCAAATCATCCAACTCGTATACACAATTACAACCAGATCTTATAATACATAAAACATGTTATCAGACCTTACAAAACCTTTATCGCTTTTAGATTTAATCCGTGGGTTTGTCTCACTAAAGATAAAATGCAACTTGCAACGAACGGAGCTAAATCATGGCGCACAACGAGGTTAAAAATAAACCTTTTTTGGCAGATTTAACAGCCTTGTGTCTGTATACTATCAGTTGTGTTCATAATCCTATAGTTCATTTAAAAGTAGGCAGTTCTACTCACATGTTAACTTCAGGTTCGAGTGTTGACAGCATCAAACAGAGTTCCACACAGGCCGTGGCTTGGGGAAAATCAGGCTGCTCCGAATTATTAGACGATGGTCACCTCCGCTGGATTCGCTGTAATCCTTACGCATTGGAAAGTTACGTCACAAAAACACAAAATGCTCCCAAGGAAGGACTCCAAACTCCAAAAATAATCCCCCCGCTAAACCCCATTTTTACCCGTAAAATAGATCGCAAAACCAGTAGTCCTCTATGGCCAAGAAGGCTCTGCACTGCCTCAGCTGTTTGTGATTAGCTTCGACGTCAGAAGGGGGCTGCTATCATACGTAGTGTGATTGACAGGAGCATTTACAACGTAAACCAAGCTTTACACGAAACTCTTACTGTTAAAACCAACATATCACAACATGAAACCATCAACACCTCGCCTCAAATTGCATTAAATGTGACATCCGTGTCTTAATTCGTTCGTATATAAACTTTTTAGACAATTCGCGGACATCCGCCATCTTAGTTTTCCTTCGGCTGCCGTGAGACGCGCATGCGCAGGTTTGCAACACAACACAAGCAAACGTGATGCGTTAC